TTCAGGTATACAACGGCTAGTTTTAAATTCACCTATATTTATATTAAATTCTGACGTTTTACTCTAAGGGCTACAGCTACCGTTAAATTTCCAGCATTAGAATCCGGTGAACATTGGAAAATTGGATGGATTCAAGCCTGCACTCGAATGGAATTTTATAATTCTTATGGTGAACACGGCTAGTAAGTAAGCACAACCTCTCATAGGTCGATTCACGCATCATCACAATGTTCTGTTTCATTGATTTAGTTCTAGTTGGGAATTTCCTCAACTAATGTCCGGTGACAAACTCATGATATCTGACAGTGATGGTAGAAACTATCCTTGGTACGGATCAAAATCTGAAGTGATCGAAGTTCAAGGACCATGCGATGATTACACACTAATAAAAGTTAATATGAATGATAATTTTTATCCGCACATTACTTGGGATATACCCACATCGAATGAACGTTTATCTCGTTTAACACATGTTACTCGTAATCAACAATTTTATACGTGGTTAGTAGCAATGGATGCCATTAACGGTAGTATTCTCGTTTTGAAAACAATTCGTTGGCAGATGAAATTAGAAATTGAAGTTGATCCTTTACAACCTCAAGGATCTCGAGCGAAATTAATTAGCGATCCAACGCCAGAACAACCAGAAATATTAAAACAAAATATCAGAATTCCAACATGCGTCCTCTATCCACCAAATGTACGTATTATTTTCTCATTTATTTGTATAGGTATTTAGCTATCGTTTACTTATAAACAAAACTACGTCAAACTATTTATGCGTACAAGTTTCACACGTACAATACAAAAAAAAGTATTACGTACTATATTTTACCGTACTTTTAGGCGAATAGTGCTCAAATTCTTGTGTGGCATCCATTATGTCATCTTGGTGAAATGTCACATAGACCAGAAATTGTTGTACCACCACGATGTATGGCTATATTAGATCAAAATCCATTTTATTCCAATTACATTCGGCATAAAACTCATACAAGCGTTCAAAATAAATTAAATGGTGGTGGTAGTTCTTCGACTAGTGGAAGCAGTGGTGGTTCATCGTCTTCATCGTCTGAATCACCGCCGAGAACTATACACTCAACGAGATCGAGTACAAATGATAAAACAACGACTTGTACGATAGTGACTACAAATACGAAAACCTCAACAACTAAAGCTAGTCTCTACATTCCAACGAACTCTAGTCATATACATCACTCTACTAATCATCACGAACGAATTTTGTTACCAGCATCTGTCGTAGGCAATAGTAGATGCTATACGGGAATGAAACAAATAATTAATCATCATTCGATGTTAGCCAATAGAGTTATGGTACGTTAGCCATCTTATTTGGTTGAATTCAAATCGTGGCTCTTTTGTGCAAATATGCAATAGAAACAAAGAAGTCAGATAGCAAGAAGAAATGACTTCTGTCAACATGGTGCTATTTATTATTCAAAGGTGAATTTTAGACTTTCGTGTATTTTTTTTATTGACGAAGAGTTTTTGTTTGATAAGTTAATAAGTTTATCTACCTCGAGAACTCTTCATGTGAAGAATATTTGTTTATATCGAAATGGCGTGTAATAATCAAGTACTTCCATGCTGTGGTCTGAACGACAATCAACTGTCGGTTTCAGTGAAATGTTAGTTTTTTTATGTTGTACAAAACTTGTGCTTTGTTGTAAAAAAATTCATTTTATTGCTAATAATGGTCAGAAAAAAAAACTAACAACGAACATAAATAGAATCTCGTTCGTTTCAACCGATTAGTGCCTAAAGACGGTAAGTATCAGAGCTCCATATAGACTAATCCAGTCCAATCTACATGAACTCGTACTCAACTGGACCGGACCAACACCATGCACTCGAAAAAAGTTTGGATTCCAAAGGAGTTTCTAGAATGGATTTGCATCGAGAAAAAATGGTGAAAACGCGTTGTTCTGATATTTTTAATGAGTGCGTGTGTTTAAGTGACTTTTTTCGAGTGCATTCGTCTATGCTGTAATACTCGGTTTACGGACTGTTAACAGTTGCTCTAAAAACGCAGACGATCTCTAAGACAAGTATCAGCCTTAAAATTTTGCCGAAATATTTCATCTGAAAGATTATTTGTCCATGAACTGAAAAATCTTTCTCAAATGGATCTGATTTGATTCGTCTTGGAAGTTTAGTTTTATATGTAGCTCTTTTAGGTAATATTGCAAATGTATTGACAAAAAGCGGATCACAAATATATCCCCAGACCCACTACATGTGTCTGATATTTATATAAAAGTGTTATTTAAATTTGCTAATGTATAAATGTGTTTTTGATATATATCTTGTAAGATATAGATAATGGAACGAATGGGATTTTTCTTATTAAGTATATATTATATGTTCCGAGAATCTGTCTAACTACTAACGAATTATTAATTCTATTAGATAATTGCAGTTGTAATGTGTTTTTTTAAGAATTTTTCAGCTTTTTATTAAATTTAGCTTTTTACTAAAATCATCTTGAATTAATCTAAGACACATTGATGTCAATATTAAACCAAAAAATAAATAGATTAGACATAATATCGTACGGCCCGATTTATGTGGTGTTATAGTATTATCACCCGGAACAAGATCACCAAATCCAATTGTTGAAAATGTTATAAATGAAAAATAGGCGCCATCAATGAATGACCAACCTTCCCAAGAAGCAAACAACAGTGCACTACATAAAATATAGAATGTCCATACAAAAAATACAACACGTAATGAAACATGTTCGATTTTATGTGAGTCGTTTGACAAATGCTAAAAAAGGAAAAATAATGTATATAAATTGATCTTTCATACTTATCTATAAAAATATTCACTACAAAAATTAAAATCTTCTCATCTACTTTTGTTTAAATGACCTGATACGATACATTACTTCTTGACTAATTCTTTTCTTATTCTTAAGTTTCATTCTCAATTTGAGACGATACCATTTTTGTTTAACTTCTGAATAATATCTTAGAAATATGCAGGCCAATTGATCACTCATATTGTTGAGCCATACAACCACAATTGGGATACCAATGAGAGCATAGAAACACGTTATAACTTTTCCCAATATTGTTTTTGGAGTAATATTTCCATAACCGACTGTGGTAATAAGTGTAGCCGAAAATAATAATGCCGATGCATATGACCATTTTAGTTTTGATTCACTATCACTGATATTTAATAATAAATGCAATTGATGATGAATTTTTTTACCAAAATGTGAATCGTCAATTATGATTTTCCATGTATCATTTTGTTGTTGTTCCCAACGAGAATATTGCCGTTCAAATGAAATATTCAATTGATGATTAAAAGTGTTTAATGTATCTTGATATATATTCTCAATTGTTTTTGAATACAATACATCCCAATCTGCTTTTTCATCTTGATTATATCGTGATTCAATTTCTTTAAACATTATACCACCAATTAGAATATAACTGATTAAACAAACAATTAATCCCATAGGATTAAAGAAAAGTTGAACAAATTTATTGCTTTTCATTTCTGTGACGTGTGTTTTTCTGCTACGGTCTAACAAAATGTAATGTGATGATGGAATTCTTTCAATTACGAAGAAACATCTTCTGTATATACACAAAGTGTTGAATGTCTTTTTATTTTTAAATATGAATGTTTAACGTTATACTTGTGTGATTGAACGCAGCTGCAAAGAAACTTGATCATCATCTTTCGATAACAACTTTAGCTAACAAAAAGGTTTTCTTTCATTAAAAGTAAGATAATACATAGTCGCACATAAAACGACTACTTAGTTATCTATCCAAGTCCAAAAATCGTACTAGGAATCGTACAGAAATCTTCCACGATACCTGGAGGAAAACGTAACACCCTGCGTAGAAAAAAGATACGATCCTATCATAGGTGATCCTGTAGAATTCTTACCATACGAACGTGTACGTTTCCTATTGGAATTCTTACACTATGCTCTTATGGCACTCCTAGGAAATCGTAATATTTCTATAGGATCCTACATTAGGAAATGATGGAATGTCTACTGTAGGAATCTTATCATTTTGCTATGTATTTCCCATTTACTGTTTTGTTTTTCAGTAATAATCCTGGCGTAAAAAATTCACTGAAACAAAAACGAATACGATCGCCCATGCCAACGCGTTCAATAAGACTATAACTTTATATACTTTAGGCATGGTTCAATAGTTTTTTCATACGACAAAATTATTTCTTGTTAAAAAAATCGATAACTGAAACAACGTCCTAAACACATATTTTTATACAAAAGAATGAACAGTACAAGATGAGTATCGGCTAAACTAAAGGATTAATGATGATAGGAACAGAAGTCGTCATCCTATTTTGAAAATGTACTGATGCTCTTGTTATAATCAGATGTTAATCAACAAAATATCGTGTACTTGACTTAATCAAACATGAAAATTTTTAATGGCAGTCATTGTCATCCTTTTCTTCCTTCTGGTTAAGATCTCAATGGATTCTGCACCTTTTAGTCACTTGCAATCAGTGCTTTCTTCTTTAATACGGCAGATGTATTTAGACCAGTGTAACACTGCCAGGTATAGTCTGTGCGTGGTAAAGACAATTGGTGTTCTCTAAGCTCTAATTTTTAACGTGATATGAACAGGAACATCTTGCAAACTATGTATGTGACAAGAGTAATGGAAACCTATCTAAACTCAGTTGAACAATTTATTCAACAAGGATCAATACATAGATAGAATAAGAATAAAATCTCCGTAGTCTACTATTTTTAGTCTGTAAGAAATATCAGAAGACGAAAGAAGATGATACACACCCACACGGGCAAAAATCTGGCATATAAAATAAACATGTTGAATCTGAATACGAATTGAAAAGCTATGTGATATCTGACATGGATCATACAGTGAGAATTGATAGTTTAAAAGGTGTGGTTTAAAAGAAACGTTTTGAATATATAACGTATTCTGCTACTGTCGTATTTTCAGCTTTCGACGACATTAGTTCTTGTAGGTCGACTAAAGTTTTGAGGCGCTAAAAATCTTTCTCCAATTTTTTCGACTTGTTTTTTTGATGATTGTTATTGCTGGTTGGTGTTGAAATTGTCTCAGAAGATGAAGAGTACAGTTGTCCGCACAGCTGTATATTTGAATAATGTACTTGACAACAGATGTATGTTGAGTAGATCTGTCGTAATGCTGATCGTAGTATAGTTGAATTAAGTATACATAAAATATTCATCTAGTTTTTGTCATCAAACAAGATGCCGGCCATATTGTCAGCATTCGATATAAACAGCTACGTGGTATAACTTATCATTGATCGAACAATGTTAGAGGGCAGAGTACACTCTAGAACAAAAGTATTTCGAACTTTACAACTATTTTAAGATTTAGTACAAACTATCTGTATGCAACTTAATTTACAAAAAATATACTGTTCTTCTGACAAGCGTAAGTGAAAAATTTTTCTCTGAAAGAAAACATTTTGTCTATACATATAACTACAGCGGAAGAGAGAGTTATGGGAAAATAGGGTTTTGAGTGCGGTTTTTAGACTAAAATGAGCATTGAATGAATTATTTGAACACTAATCATGCTCAAATAAATCTTTTGGCTGAAATGAGCACGGTTGTAACTGAAAGATTGCTACATAGAAGAAAGAACTTACGAGGAAACATATGTAAGTGTCCCATCGCTTTTTCAACGAAACCTAGTGGGTTATAGGTTATCGATGATGCTGATTTCGAATATGAATATGAAAGCTGCTCTTAGGGCTCCGAAGACTCGGTTTTCTGGAAAACTAGTTTTTCAGAAACTCTGGAAAACGCTCAAACCTTTTCTTAATAAGCCAGGCTTGTAGCCCGCACATTTCTGATTAAAATGAGACCTCTCCCAACTCTACATGACCTTTCTTTACAAAGTTATAGAATTTACACGAAGGGCTCTAAATTAATTTCTTCTTATTTCTGTAGCTTCGAGTTGACATTGAATATTTAGGGCTTTTCTTGTAAATTCTATAACTTTGTAAAGAAAGGTCACGTAGAGCTGGGAGAGGTCTCATTTTAATCAGAAATGTGCGGGGGCTACAAGCATGGCTTATTAAGAAAAGCTCTGGGTGTTTTTCAGAGTTTCTGAAAAACTGGTTTTCCAGAGTTTCTGAAAAACTAGTTTTCCAGAAAACCGAGTCTTCGGAGCCCTAAGANGGGCAGCTCTCATATTCATATTCGGAATCAGCATCATCGATAACCTATAACCCACTAGGTTTCGTTGAAAAAGCGAGGGGACACTTACATATGTTCCTTCGTTAGTCGATTTGTGAGTGAATATTTTTTCATTAAATGTATCATCTTCTTGCTCGAGATTCACTCCTCTTATTAGAAATCGAGATAGTGTCCGCAAATCGCTACCGACTCAAACGCATCATGTTCTCGAAGAAAAAACCGAGTAAAGCAAGATGCATAAAGTCTAGCTTCAAATGCTTTTAGCAATTGTATGATGCCTTTTCATTTCAGTTAATTAGCAGGACTTGTGTTGTTGAGCGCACGACTCATTCTATCTCTCCGTGAGTGAATATTATTTCGATCTTTTTGATAATGATTCAGGCTAAATTGCGTTTCTACTGAAGTCAGAAACCTTTTGTGTTTTTTCTGAAAGTACAGTTCTTAATTCTTTCATAAAGTTTTAGGAAAAAGTTGATACTTTCTGAAAAAAATATAAAAAGTTCTGACTTCAATAGAAACGTAACTTAGCCTAAACCATTATTGAAAAGACCGATATAATATTCAATCACGGAGAGATAGAATGAGTCGTGCGCTCAACAACAGTCCTGCTAATTAAAGGGAATCAAACATCTAATAGAACGAAACCGGAATAACAGGAGAATGTAGGCATACACCAATACAATATATTGGTTACTCAATCTATTGGGATCAATAATTATGGTCGTCCAATATATTGGGTTTTCGCAATATTATTGGGTCACTTGAGTTCGGCCTACTTTTACAGTAATCATGCTTTATATCCCGTTTTGAATCAAAAAATAACCCAATTAGTCATGCACCGATTAATAATCAATATTAGGGCATTCAGCAAAGTCGTTCCAAATCAGTTATAAAAAAACTCTCAGAACTGTCGAACGCTTCGTTTTGTAGGAAAATATTTTCTCTACCAAACTGAAGTGCTACAAAAATTTTAATATTATATATAGAGAAAATACAATAAATCAAAAATGCAGTATAATCATAGAAAAATAATCGCCCGTTGCTTTTTCGCAATTTTGCTCAGTTTTTGATGCTTATATTTCTGTCGCAGATAACACTAAAATGTCTTTTTGCACTTTAGTTTGGTAGAGCAAACATTTTTCTACAAAATGAGACATTCGGCAGCTCTAAGTGCGTTTTTAAAACTGATTCGGAACGACTTTTCTGGATGCCCTATCTATTATTAATATCGATTGTTAATCGGTGCATGCCTAATCTCGATCGGAATATGCTTCCTCACGTTTCTATGACGGTAAATGATATTAAGGTTAAAAAGTTGGAATCCAGTGTTTTACGGAACCCAATATTACCCAATATTATTGGTCCCAACAGACTGGGTGACCAATAAAAATATTGGTCCCAATATACTGAGTAACCAATATTATTGGTCCCAATAGATTGGGTATACAATAATATTTGGACTCAATATTATTGGATAGCCAATAATATTGTACAATATCTTCAATAATGGTTGGTATTGGTGCATGCCTAGGAGAATGTAGTATTTACGATGAGAGTCGCGGCGCTAAAGCAACAATTAATGCATGATCACGACATGATATTCGTGATTTCTATGGGACAATAGCACAAGAATAACGATTTAAACGAATAATCTTTCAACGCTTCTACCACAAAGAGCTTGAAGAAAAAGAAACAAAAGCCTTTCCGGATACTATCTTAAAGTACAATTTTAAGCTTTGAACATACTAAGGAAATTGTGACTGAAGTTTAGGTCTTTAAAGGGCAGAGCATTGAGATTCGAAAAGGAATACAATAGACATTTTTCAAAAACTGCTTTTATAGTTTGTTCTACATTGTAAAAAAAATGTGTCCTGGAAAAGGACATAAAAAAAATACATGGAATGGACACATTCTCGTGGCATATTGAAGAATACATCGGAAATACTCTGCCCTGCGGTACGTAATGTGTTCTCGAATGTGTCCACTCCATGTATTTTTTTCATGTGCCCTTTTTCAGGACACATATGAATACATCCTGTTTTAGAACAGATGAACAGTGCCTTTCAAAGACGTATTATGTGACTAAGAATGTGTCTGTTCCACACATTTTTTTCATACGGATTGGTAGTCGCTACCATATTCACTAAGAAAAAGCATTTTTGTAGATATAGTGCAGCATTCTCTTTTTTTATGGAGAAAAATCGCAGAAAACAAAAAATATTAATGAATACATGAATCATGAATATATAACTTATACAAAAGAAAACATTATTCACGCAAATTATTGTTGACGTGTGCGAATTTTTAATACAGAATTTTGTGTAGTAATAGATAATTTATTAACATTTTCTTGCCGATGAATGTAAAAATCAAGCAGTTCCATGAATGATCTCAAATGTTTAGGATATTGTAAATCGAATGTGTAATAGAATGATAATAATAAAAACAACATTCCACTAAATGTTGCTAAATCACCGTTCTGTTCTGCATGAACTAGTACTTCAGTAAACAAATATAAAGTCTTGTGTATCGTTTTTATTGACATAAACAACATTAGGCTATTGTGCCGCCTTCTCTTTTGACAATATTTCGTTAACTTCTTCATCTAGTTCAACGTTTTCATTATCATCTGTTGAACCCTTAAGGGGGACTTTCCTCCCCTTATGATATATATTTTTTGATACCAGTTGGTAGAGCAAATGAAACTGCATATAACCTGAAATTTTCTCAGCGGATGGACGTGTTTTGACAGAGTTAGGCCATTCACGCAGTTTCATTTGCTCTACAAACTGATATCAAAAAATACATATCATAAGGGGGGGGGAAGTCCCCCCTTAAAGTAGAACTGACTAAAACTCAACTAATATAATCTCTGAAAATATCTTTAACCGCTAAATAGTTAAGAAGAAATTGGAACTCATCACTGACATAAAAAATGTTTTTCTTGTACGATTTGGATCCGTCGAATAGAAATTTTATCACTCATAATCTTGCGTAATCGAATATATAATACGACGGAACTTTTGTACTTGGCAATACAGACGGAATATTAAACAAATCTTTATATTTGGTTGAGGATGATTAAACTTCAATAATCGTTAGAACTGGTGCTTCTAAACCATCAAAATCCATTGTCGATAAATTACGCCCAGTAGATATTAACATGCAATATTTTTTCAAGCCTCTATGTCACAATTAAAGATCACACAACCATGAATAGAATACGCTAGTGTGCCACATCAGCATGCAACTTCAATAATAAAACGTTGTTTATACTTACAAGATGTATTGCTACAAATTCAGTAATACAAATTCAGTAGAATTGTGGTCTAAACCTGCTTTTCCATAGAGTGTGATTGTGGTATGAAACATCGATACTCTTAATTCATAGTTTTCAAAAGTATTTATTTGTAGTACATTTATCGCAGTCTCTGCAAAGTCCATTGTCTCGGATTCAGAAATATTTTTAGACCCCTTGATATCTTTACGGGGTCTTGAAAAAACTTTTTATATTTACATTAGATTATGAATCTCACACATCAAATCAGAGAAAAATTAACACGATATCGCAGTTACTCTAGAGAAAATATTTCGGAAAAGAATCTTATCAGTATACTTATGGGACTTTCCACTTTGCTATCAACATCAAAGTGGGATGGGTAGGTAGATATATTTTTCTCAGCGTGAAAAACAGAGTAGAAATTCATTATTCAAAGTGTAAATCCATTTTGCTCTCGTTCATCCACCAATTATTAAAAACACAGTGAACGCGTCCCTTCGGTAGGTTTGCGCATTGTCTTGAATTTAAAAGTCACGGAAGGACGTTCGCCTGCGCAGTTATGAGTTTCTTATGTAGAGGGGCCGAGGAAGTGCAGACGAGCGTTACTTTGTGATCAATCGAAAAGAAATTTTTTCAACCAATCCTACGTCTTGCCTGCGTTCCATTCCATTCCATTCCAATCCAGTCTTTCAGTTTTTAGTAATGGCTCCTTCGGCCGCTCTGCCCCAAGACCAGCCCATTTTTACCATTCGGGCATGCTTGATTTACAGTATCCATCTCAGGCATTATACAGGCATGCAAGAATTGAGAGGCGTGATTGACGGCTAAAGACACTAATTTTGTCTGTGGTGTACTTCGAGGGACAGGCATATTTCGGGCCCGCAAGGTGCATTCTGTTCTCTCATTTTTTATTCACCATTTTGTTTATTTAACAGTTATATAAGAGGCAGTGCACGATAGGGACAAACTAAGTTGCTCAATGAACTTTCACAAATTTTCTCAAATTTTCAGAGCAGATAGGAAATGTGTCCTGAACATTTTTTTCATTTAGCTCTCCAAACAGTCGGCGGCGGCGCGACCGGGGGTGGTGGTGATTAACTCCCCCCCATACTTTCAAAAAATTTTCCTCTGATTTTACGATTTACCCCCTTCCATGCTCCAGACCTCTTTGTGCCGCCATTGTAAACAGTCCGCATTTATTTTATAAAAGTTGCAAAACTATTGTTTTGACAGGTCATTTAGCCGCCGAAGGCGGCAAATTTTTTATAAGAAAATGTAAAGATCTTTGTTGCAGGAAAAAGGACAAAAACAAAAAATCCTCGAAAAGCAGACAAACTGCGGACAGCGGACACTTTGGGGAAAAAACTATAGCAAGCTGAATTTGTCCGCAAATGCGGACCATCTGACAGTTCTGATCTGTACATGCATGCGGGTTGCAAGCTGCATCTGTATGTCTCAAAATGTATGAGACCTACCTGTGTTCGTGTATGTACAGGCGCCTGTATGTATCAAGGAATTGGTCTTGGGACGTAATGTCACTGCTGCGACGAATCTATCTGTGATATCGAATGGGCTCAAAAGAGTTTAGCTATTGAGATCAAGGAGGGTGTTTCATAAAAATTCTTAAGTGTGCGACCTAATTAAGTCTAGAATTAAGTCAGACTTAAGTGTATAACACCCTCAAGGATCGATTTGTTATAAAGACTAGGTTATACTGCAGGAACTTAGACAATGGTCCAAGAGTACGAGCAATTAAGTTCAATTTGCCTCAAAGGAAAGGTAATGTTCAGTAGCGTGATCTGGCCGAGAATAGACGCCTTCAAATCATTTTATTTGACATAGATTCACTCTTAATTGTTATTTCCTCTCTGAAATATAGACAATTAAGGTCCAGTAAAATTAATTTTTTAGATCAACGTATGCTAACCGCACAGCGTTATGAACAACATGATTTCACGTTGACACTAGCGTTTTGCGTCTACCTATGGTTTACTTTTGCGATTTTTTTGGAGTCGGTATAATACAGATATGCATGCAATAGAAAACTAAATAAAACGATCAATCATAATTTGAGTTAATTATTAAATGAGATTTATTAGTACGATTTTCGTTTTATTTCGTTCTCTTTATTTATGAGTTAGTTGGTTTGCTTTTTTATGTGATAGACGTTGATAATCAAGTAGTTCACTGTAGCTTCATTGTAGATTAACTTGCTCTTTATAAAATGGTCTCTCCAATCAGGGACACCTATAATGTAGATCATTTTGAAAGATAGTATGAGTTTTTAATGACGATTTTTTCCTGTAGAACAAAGTTACTGTATCTTATCTAAACCAAACGTGTTTTATCAGTAGTCTTAAGTTTACGATTCGAAGTACAGACTCAAGTCAATATAGTGTGTGTATTTACAGCATTAATCTTTATCTGGGATGTTCGCGGTCAATTGAGTTAAGACAAATTTAAGTCAATCGACAAGTAAGTTTTTTGGTAAAGAAATTAAGTCAGATCTTAGCTAAAATTTAGTCCAGATTTAGATTCTTACTCATAAAATTTAATAGCTCAAGTTTATGGATTTTTTAATGAAACGATTTCCTTGAAACATAACAACGTAGAAAGAACGCAAAAACTTAGTAGAACATAGTAGTTTCTGAGGTCATCATCATAATCCTAAAATCATGTTTCAACAGTTACTGGCCAATAGCCTCGTGATGATAGTCTTGGATTTGTCACTGCACTCCGGTTAAAAATATTCATATTTATTTTTTCTTTTGTTTATTTACATCAGAATCATTGACTATCATCTTTTTTTCTATAGTTATGTTCTCAGAAGCGAACAATAGGATTTCGTTCAACTCAGTATCGTGTGTTATTGGCCATACGCACTTTTATGATTAGATAAACCAACATCGATGAGGCAGGTGTAGAAAGCGTTATTGAAAATTTTTTATAAGCTTTACGATCGCTGGAGCGTAAAAAATTCGATCTCATGTTTATCGACTATTGAAAAACTGAAAAGTAGAAGGATTCTGCCTTCTAATGTATATTGTAATTGTGGCTATCTTCATGCGTGTATAGAAAACTTAAACACAGAAAGAGAATCAATGCTTATCAACGCTGGAAAAACACATGGTTGTTTTCGAAAATAGTTGTGCAATTCGAGAGGAAAACATAAATATGTTTCTGCCACTGAAAATACTAAAATACTCAAAACAAATATTTTTTACGAGCAAATCAGCATATCTTTCTTATAGAAGACATATTTATTATACTGGGATCTGGTATGTTCATCATATTGTATCATTGTCACATGTGTTTTTTTACTGTTTATTGTTCTTTGTTTATCTTATTATACATGTTTATCGTGTAGTTTTTTATCACTTATTCCACATGTATGAATCTTGAGGTTTGATAAAAGCAGGGTTACCAACGCTTCCAATTTTATCAGAATTTTTCCATTTTCTGGAGGTTTTTTACTTTTTTTTTGAAAAGTACATATTCGTAAAAGAATTCAGTTTATTAACATGACGTCATAAAGCTTTTTTCTTTTTTCACGTGTGTCACATATTTGATTATTAATAGTTTTATAAATTAATTCTATCTAAACCAGATATATTAAAAGCAGTACGTAGTTAAAAAAATCTATGAATTCAATTAGACGTAGTATGTTTTTGTTTTGATTTGTTTTACAATTTATTGTTTTAAGTGTTTTTCATGAATAAACGGTTAAAAAAAATACATCACAAAAGAAACAGTCGATACTTGACATATTTGATTTTTGTCACTGTTCCTAAATGTGTTTTTTTTCTGTTGGAAAAAAAGAACACATGTTGCTCTAGAAGAAAAGGCTATTATCTTTAACTCGTTAAAATATTCTAGAAAAAAATGATTTTTCAATACCTCTTCTTTCCGACTTTTTCCGATATTAACGAATATTTTTCCGTACTGTAGACTTTACAAGTTACAGACGTCACTTGATAAAAGATATACAATTTTACTTATTAAAAGAAGTCAACAGTTGTGAACGGAGACAAAGTGTGGATAGAAGTTTTCTATCTACTATTAGAAATTATAATCAAATTAGAAAATAATTCAAATAGTCTTAATGAATTTTTCTATTGCTAACTTAATCATATTTTAGTAGAAAAAAAGATAAAAAGTAATGAATGAGAAGTATAAAACTAAAAAGTATCTGAAGTACTTTAAATGTACTTGAGTACATTTAAACACTTACAAGTCCAAGTATTTTTATGAAAATATGAATAATATTTTTCGTGTACTAGTGTATTTCTACTTTTACTCTTATAATTGTATATTATCCATACTCTAATTTGAAATATATTATACTTCTCTAAGAAAACAATATAAGATCTTTCTGAAATAGGTCTTTGCTAAATAATAATCTATATTTTATGAACATAGACTGACATGAACAAAAACAAAAGTTGTCAATTTAGATCTCTAGTCATGATTGTATTCTTCTTCGAGTAAAAAGTCTCATTTAGATAGACATGTTGTTAAATATGAAGGAAAATATGTTTACAACAAACGTTTTTTTAGATATACTATCGTAAAGAAAAATATTTTCTTTTCTAATATAATAATAAGGTTCGAGTACAACAAATGTTCATCACCACAAATAATCTATTACCGATTTCTGCAAACATGTTTGACAGATAAATTCTTTCTTCTTTATTTTTTTGTTTTACCCGTAAGTTATTTTTTTTCTGAGTTGATTGAATGAAACAGATGGCATAATTTCTTTATTCGTGAAACAAACAAACGGGATATGTTCAATTTTTTTTCTCTTTTTGTATCTTCTTTTATTTATGTTTGTTGAAATGTATTTGGTAATTGATTCTATTACTTCTATGTGAAATGTTATGGTTGATTATGTCATTATCAATTTCACCTATACTCTTTTTCTCCTATGTGCAACTATTAATCATTAGAAGATAGAACAAAAATAAAAAAAGATGTTTCAGATGTGGAATGATATCATAGTTGGGTATTGTTACTCATAATTTGTTTGGAATGTGCGACGACTGTTTGTGATTCTCAAGCAAAGAGAGAGAGAGAGAGAGAGAGAGAGTAATTATACACTTTCTCTTTTTATTTATCATAGTGACGACATTCTATATGTTAACAGTAAACAAGAAGAGATAAAATATGTTTTCGTTCAAAACAAATGTCAGATTGAAATGAAAGATGATGCTTACAGCGATCACAGAACATTATTTTAGCTCCTAAGGATATCAAATTTTGTACATCTAAGTGAGATATTATGTAACTATTTTTTTTTTTTAATTTTTAACGATTATTAATTGTACAATTTTAGAAATTTTCTGAATGATCTGTGATGATGTTTGTAATATAAATACTTCAGAAGATAAGACAATAGTGAGTTTTGATACTTGTTCTAAAAATTTATACTTTTTCTTCTCTTTTCTTTCATTCTTTTTTGTTTCTCAAGATGCCATCATTGATTGGCCTTTTCTTGACACTTGTTCATGTTTATGTCGTTGTCTGTTTCTCCATCTAATATTAGTTGTTCACGTGTGCATATTCTCCTTTCCATACTCTAGACAATTGCTTATCACTAATAGAAAAAAAAGAAAAAAACGGGATTATTATTACATATTTTGAGTGAAATAATATATGATATTTATTCACATAGTTTTCATATATATAAAAAAAAATGAGAAGAGCGAAGTGAGAAACCGTATTTTTGTGTACATATTTGATTTTGACGTTTTCTTCTCTTTTTTTTTTGTTCTTTTTTTTTTATCGATGATCAACAGCCATGAATTATTACAAACATACGTCTTTTCATATTTAACTGTATCATAAATGATGGTAAAGAAAAATATTATTGTTTGGTTTTATAAATCGGTGAGTAATATGTTGAAATACTACAAAAGTTTCTGTTATGCTTCATAATTAATCTTCACTTTTCATCCTTGAAAAGTGTCAAGTAATTCAGAGGAGAAAAACACGTGTAATAAACAAATTTAGCATAGTTGTAATGAACTAAACAATTATATTATGATTTTGTAAACTTTTGTATTTAAACGTTATATGTAAAGAGCAAAAATCTCACGTTTGTCCCCAAAGATATTGAATGTGTATCTATGTGTGAAGATAATTTGATGACAGATCATATAACAAAGGCATATTTGTTTCTCATTTCCGTTTTATTTTCTCTTCGCCTTGATCCGAAGGATAATTTGACAATATTGTATTGTGTATAACAATCAGGGTTTTTATGAACTTGAACTTAGATGAGTCGATTGAGAAGAAAGAAAGAAAAAAAAATTGTCTTTTTTTTTACAGAAAATCGAGTAATTCAATCATCAATTTTTATTATTGAGAAAAATATAAAAAACTACTTTTTACAATTCTATAAACAGTTTAGTATGTATAGTAAAATTAAAATTAATCAACGATCCAAAAAATGATAATTTATCAAGTTGATTATTGTATAGTCTCTCTACTTTAGTTATATATAAGAAAAATCAATACCGTTATTAAATAGCGTGTGTTTTCTACGTTTTTCTCTTTGAAAAAAAAGTCTTCTTCTTATTATTAAACTACAATCTTTGTAAATATTGCGTTGTTTCATTTTTCATAAAATTATCTTGGGAGTATTGTGTGACAACTAAAACTATTCTATCCTATACATATTTCATTCATTATTAGCCTAGAATCATGAGATATTATATCCGTTGTTGATTATTAGAATGAGAATATAATCTGATTAAGTATGAATATAACTAACAACAATTCGATTTTAGTTTAATATAGTCGATCATGTTTACCAGTTGACAGTGTGCATCTATGTTATCTAAATAAATATAACTCATAATGTATTCTGTAATATAAAAATTCATTTAATATCATTAAACTTTAGAATCAATTCAATTGAATAATAATGAATAAAAGTTTGGTTGATCTTTCTTCTTCAATCTTATCAAACGTTTTAATAATGGCATTCTTCAAGTATCAACATTAAAAGAACAGCATGTGGAATGTCGATATAAAAGAGAAATGAGAGTATATTATTTCTTCTATGTAGTCTAAGTTAGGTACCAGGATGATTTTATTACTTATTTTTTGAAACTAATTTTTGATGTTTTAAATCAAAACAATTTTTTTGTTTTTTTTTTGGTTAGTTTTTGACATTTAATGCTGATGAGATTTTATTGAACTAAAATCTAATAGAACGCATGTATTTGTGACATGTTTGTCAACACTTTTTCTTTTATTTTATATTGATAGGATCGTAATACTATCATGCAATATTAAGAAAATTGCGTTTTTGTTTTATTAATAGAGAATTAGACTTTTCTTCTTCTTCTTCTTCTTTTTTTTTGTTGAAAAGAAGTCTATTTCCTGTTCAATTATGAACTTCATATAGTATGCCTCAATTAAAGAAAATCTTTTTTTAACATGCCGAAACGTTTTCTAACAGTAAGTAGAATCAAAAAACATTAATCGTAAATCAAAAATCTATCATTAACATATTGAATTAGCAGAACTGTTTCCGATTATTCAAGCATTTTCTCTCTCACACTGATATAAACTAATCTGTCACATAAATTAATAACAATATCGGACTGTTTTCTATCTATATTCCCCAATGTTTGACACATGGAAAAAAAAAATATAAAGAAGAATAAAATAAATACAATAGCTATTATAAAAACTTAGATCTTGGAAATATATGCCATAGAAATATTTATAATACAGATCTATTTTGATATCGATATTGTTATTATTTCTATAATACAATAGCAGTATTTTTATTTTCTTATTCTTATTCTTTATTTTTATCGGTGGCATCACACGCTCACGTACAATCTTCATTTATTGTCTTCTTTTCTCTTTCTTCTCTAAAGCTATACACTACGTATTTAAGGGTAATATAGTCATTGTACTATCATTATTATTTTATAATAATATTTTTCCTAGAAAAAAAAAAAATTGGTGTGTATTTATACAAGTGGTAGCACTTTAGAGCTCTTGAAACAATTTGCATATGTAGACGAAAAGGCAGATGGTTGTAAAAAAGTAACAAGTGAGGTGCGTGACATTTTTGTTAATAAAACATCGGATTTGCCCATGTTAAGCACAATATTATATCGAATAAAGATTGTTCAACATTGTAAAGTCAAATAGCCAATGGTAATTTATTTTTTTTTTTTGCTTATATGATTGTTGATTAAAATATGACACGTATAGTCTCAGTTCGATTCGGCAAAGATCAAATAGATTGTATTCATGGTCTCATATGTAAAATTAGAAACTTACACGATCTCTACCAATGATAAAAAAGAAAAAATATTTAAATAATTTTTTGACATTTCTACGAGTTTTCTAGTGGTGTTTTAAACAGTGTTTTCTTATTCATGTTGCAAGACCGTATTGTCTACTTTACATTTATACACAACACATAAAACATCTCAGATTTCATATACTTTTCATATCATTATTATTGCTCTTATACATCTGAATAATAATCATTCTGATTCTTGTTTCAGATTATAAAACGTACACATTTTCTAATTAGAAAATTATGGGGTACATTGTTGTCGAATGGGCAATAAAACATCGTATCGAACTAATAATCACACAAAACACTCTTCGACATTAAAAATAACATCGACCAATAGTAATGGTCATCGATATTTTGATACGGCAGACGAAATTGATTACAAACGACAGTTACACGGATCACCAAGATTCCGACGAAAACAAACCAAACAAAGTTATTTTGATAAAAAAGCTAAACATCATCAACAACAACAGAAAAAATCTCAAGTAAGGAAAATCTTCATTTTGTAATTTTTTAACGCGATATTTCTATTTTTTGATGAAAAATTCAAATTATTTTATATCTCTCTTTTTTTAGACCGTTTCATCTTATCTCAACGTTAGTCTACAATCAATTGGAGATCGTACTGTAAGCTTTTTCTCACGTAGTTTCAATTTTTTACATCGTGATTCAGGTGATACTCGACACAGTACAAATGGTTATTTAAAACATCAACATCGTCCACCATCATATCGAAATACATCAAGACGAAAATATCAGACATCATCATTAAGAAATCCATATCGAAGATCGAACACAAATTTTCCCGTGAGAGGACATGAAGCGTTATTTTTACCAGAATTTTCAATTAAAGGAAAAATTACCGAAGCCGATTTTGAAGTATGTTCATATTTTTCTTTTATTTTTATTCCAATTATTTTTTTTTATATTTCTTTTTCTTATTCATTTTTTAGGTAATTGATATCATTGCTCGTGGTGCTTTTGGAAATGTTATTCAAGTTTGCTCGTTAAATGATAATAAAATATATGCAATGAAAATAATGTCAAAATCTCAAATTGTACGCGATAATGCTGTTCAACAAGTGAAAGATGAAGTGACTATTGCTCAATCATGTCTGACACATCCATTTATTGTTCATACTTATTTCTATTGGCAATCACGACGTTATTTATATATAATTACAGATTATGTACAAAATGGTGAATTACTTAGTTTATGGTTACGAATAAGACGATTTCCTGAATTGATTGTAAAAATATACATTGCACAAGTATCTCTTGTTCTGGATTATTTACATCAAAAAGGAATTATTTATCGTGATGTTAAAATGGAAAATATTCTATTAGATGTCGAAGGAAATATTAAAATAATCGATTTTGGACTATCAAAATGGTTACCACAAGGTTCGAGAACAACAACAATATGTGGAACATTACAATGTAAGTTATATCAAAATCAATGATAGATTAAATTTCTTTGGAATATTCAATTTATATTTATTTAGATATTGCTCCAGAAGTATTAAGTGTTCGTCCATACGATCATCGTGTTGATTGGTATTCATTAGGTATATTAATGTATGCATGTTTATTCGGTGAATATCCTGTTAGTGCCACTAAAGATCATATAACAATGGCAAATAAAGTACTCAGTCATTCATTTCATATTCCATATTTGGGTGCCACACGAAAAGATCATCATCCATATTATAAAGATTTACTTTTACAATTATTACATAAAGATCCAAATCAACGTTTATGCAATTTGGAAACATTTCGTGAAACACCTTATATGTCAACGCTTGATTTTGATCGAGTATATACGAAATATTATTCACCAATAGTAAGTTGTTTATTTTATTAATTTGAAGTAGTAGATCTATTGTTACTGTTCACTTTTACTATTCATTCTCAGTACATACTTGTCCTATAAATAATTCATATTATTTTTATTTAAGAAACTATTATGTCAGTTAAAACCTGAGTGGACACACGAAATTGAAACACTTTATCATATACAACAACCTAGAACTAATGGCAATTATACAGAGGATAATGATGATTTCTATATCTCACAATTATCTTCATCTCCTTCCCGTTCTATATCGCCGGGATATCACCAACTAAACGGCGATAGTAGGAATTGTAGTCAATACCAAAATGTTCAAGAATTATTTCAAAAATTTTCTACCTGATATTTTTCTGTTACAATTTTGTTTTTTCATATCATGACAACATCACATTTTGTTATTTTCATAGATATTTAAACTTGTTGTTGTTGTTGTTGTTGTTTTCTTTTGTATCCCAGATTTGTTTTTTAATTTTTGTAGATATGTATGTGGATATTTAATACAAAGTGAAGTATAAAAGGATGGAGTTCTGGTGACGCGATACCAAGTTCTGAAGATAAAAAGATGCAGTTCTGGTGATGAGATACCAAGTTTGAGGAAAAAGAGATGACGGTCTGAAGACTACCCAAAGAGTTAAACTCGACCAGACCTTCTATTCTTCAGAGAATACCATGCAGTAAAATCTTGCTAAAATAGCCACAATCGCAGCCTTTAATAGTTTTTCCATCAAATATTATGTTTGAAAAAATAAAGCTTTTTTAGTTTTCAACGAGTATTAGTGCAAAGTGTAAAGAAGTGGACAAACAAACCATCTCTAGAGAACTCGAGAAACGGCATTTATGCCGTATGTTTTTTGACGGAAAATCTCATAACATCTGAAATTTATTTATTTATTCAGAAGTTAGCTAATTATAAATGGATATAATAGCAGTTTCTGGATACGATTCTAAGGCTCACTTAGTTAATGATCAATTTTATCATCTTTTTTCTATAATATAAAATAATTCCTTCGGAATGCCAAAACATTTGTTTCACTGTAAATTTTCCGCTCATAAGAGAACCTTTGGACATGCCCAACTCCGGTTCCAATGATTTATATGTCGATCGAAAGGCCATAACGAGTTGGTATTTTTTTCGCCCTTTCGTGGCTGAAAATGCTAGAAGTTCAATAGCTCAGCTGGCATAAGTGATAGACGTCTGAATTTCCAGTTGAACATATTCTGACACTGCCATATTGTAGAGCATGTTGAGTTA